TGAGGAGCACTGCCTGGCTTGGAAGTGGAGAGAAGAGTGTGGCAGGACCAAAGTTACTGAAGTTTAGCATTGTCCGTCACCACAGGGATGCTGTAAGTGAGCTGGAGAATTCCAGTCACTTGGTTGCTGATACACGTGAAATAAAACATATCATAAGACTGACAAAACCCCTCAAGTTTTCACTGTTCTTATCACTAACGTGGTTCAAATGGTGCATGTTGTTATCGTGCCAAACATTCACTGACTGCAAGTGCAGCTGTGGAATTATTCAGCTGTCATTTATGGGCTTTGGACATAACTCAGTTATCAAAACTTTACCATTAAGAACTTTAATGCTGAATGCATTCTGTGCATCCAGTTGCTAGATTTCCTGACTAAACCTACAGCAGAAGTTTTCACTCAGTACTTAACTCATCCCTGTGTATTTCAGATAAAACACTGAAACTGACACTTGGCTAGTAAATATTAACTTCATGGTGTGTGCTAGTTGATCACAGCTCTTGAACTGAAGCAAACTGAAGTTGAATGCTTGGTGTGTAAAATCCTTCTGCCATTCCCTCTGTGAAGTTTCAGTGTATGTGTTTCTATTACAATACTTCTGACAACACCCCTGTGTTAGGTTGTTCATTTATTCTCCTTGCAACACACTGAACATCTGTATCATGCAAAAGGTGTCACACAGGCTAAGTTTATTTTAAACTTAACTCTTGGATTTAAGGCAGAACTTGGCTGCATAGCTTTTAAGGAAGGAATATCTTTGATTGACATCTATGAACAACACAATGGGAATGCAGAGATTCATGCTGTCAGTTATTGTCACAGAAGATATCCACTGGTTCTCTCAAAGCCTAAGTTTTCATTGCCTTCCTCCAATACAGGCTCCACTTTCATCACATCATTCAAACAACATTAACAGCAATTCACTTGATCAGAAGCAAACAGTCTTACCTCAGGTTCATAAAACCTAGTAAGCAAACCTAAAGGTTTGGTAAAGGAAAACAATCTATGGGAAGTATGGAAGCGTTAAACGAATCTGTATTGGGAACAGTTACATTTTAAGAAGGAAAAGGGGTATTACTACTGTTCTGAAAGGAGGCGTGAGGAAGAGGAAGGAGAGGGCCCAACTGCCAACTACAAGCAGCCAAACCTCGCTATTAAATCACTCATTTACAAACCTGACAGTGAATGATTCAAATCTGGTTCCCAGCTAAAATATTCACACCAGGAATTTCTGGATGAAGCCATTAGATCTGTTTGTTTGGCCTGTGGTGAGTGGGACCCAGAGCCAGAACTGGCTCCTCGGCAGTGCCAGGAGGAACACAATGATCACACCTGGCCAGCATTATCCACCATAGGTTTCAGTTCTTTCTCATTCTGGGTATTTGCCCTTGAGAAGGGGAGCAGGAAATGTTGCAAAACAGGAGGGGTTTTGTTTACAGGCTTCATCTATCAACAGCCTCCAGTTTAAAACCTGGTTCCCTTCCTTTTCCTTATTGCCAGGACTTGGCCTTTCAGGGCAGCAGCTTCAGGACAGACCTCATTCACCTCAGGCCTTTAAAACGTTAGGGAAATGGCAGTGACCAGTGCCAGCCTCCTGACAGAGACACAGCTCAGCAGGAAGGTCAGAGACTTAAGCCAGGACATAGCCAAATGCTGTGCGAAGTCCTTCTGCCCATCCTTCCTTTCACATGGAGACGGAACTGGCAACGCATCAAATGTGAGAGGCAGAAGATAAACGCCTGTCCCACACAAGCACCATTTCTACGGGAAGGGTGGAGTCACCAGGAAGCAGCTGAATGAACTGGAACCTCTCCCTCTCCTGCCGGCATTTTGCTTTGCTCCACACCTCATGCAGCAAGACAATGAAAGCAAAAGCTTCTGCTCATTTCTCACCGACCTCAGTTGTACCTCAGGGACAAAGAGAACACCAGCACGCAGCTTTAGCTACCTGAATCGCCATCTCAAACCACACAGACCTCATGCGCTGCAGAAACTCTCCCATTCTTTAGGGAGAAAAGGATTTACTGCTTGCAGAAGCAGCTACCCATTTCCACCAGCTTCAAGGGCTCCACACAGAATATTTGTTTTGGATCAAGTATCATCTGTGATCTTGAGTAAACAGGGAATCGGCTTCAAAGGGATTACACCACTCTGACTACCTACACGTTTCTCATGCAGGCGAGTTCCCTTACAGCTGGGAACCGGCACACGGATGTCATCCCTCCTTTGCAGGACAAGGACAAGAAATCCAGCCCAGATCTTATCGGTGTGAACTGAGGTAGGAAGCAAACGAAGGAGGAGGAGCCTCAAAAGAACTAAACCAAGATTTTGATCTTAGCAATGTAATCTTGAGCATCAATTAAACCAAGTTCTGCTAAAGCACCATGACATGTTACATTCATCTGCTCCAATACCACAGCAAACAAAAGGTCTCTTGGAACAGCAATACAATGCCAAATGAGGAAACAACCAAACCAAAGGGGCTTTTCTCTCCAGCACAGCTAGGCTGTCGGGCAGCACAGCCATTAACACGTCTGTCTGCTGCAGCAGAAACACCACCTGGGGATTAGCGCTGCATGTTAGGTACAAGGGATCTAACACTGCCCAGCATTCCAGCAGGGAAGTGCCACCACTACTTACAAACATCGCACCAACACCACGTTCAAACCAAACCCAAGTCTAACAGAATAGTTTGCACAAAGGGCTTTAGAAAGTGTGACTAAAATCAGTACCAAAAACGAGCTGGAAACCAGATGATGGTCTTCAAGTATTTACAAGATGGAAGGAGCTAGAGAGAGGAAACCATGATCTCTACAGACAATATTCTCTGACCCTCAGCTATACAGAGAAACAGAAACGTAACTACACAAGAGCTAGCTGCAAGACATGAGACAGGAGGTATGCAGTGTACCATTTATAAAATAATTGCTTTGAAGTTTGAGCTCTTACAGCAGGAGCAGCATTCTCAAAGTTCAAAGCTTGTTTCATTGTTGGTTGCTTTTGTTTCTTTGCCTGGTTTGGTTCTGAGCCTTTTCCTAAAGTAGATGAGTTCGTCTCTGGTGCCTTTGAATTGTGCTGTTACGGCTCCGCTGCACTGACACTTCCAAGGACTGTATAAAGCTGCACAAGTAAACCTGTTCTGCCACACTACATCCACCCCTCTGCAACATTTGCTTTGAAGCAAGCAGGGAAGGTCAGTGAACAGCAGACACTCAGCATCATCAAGTAGAAGGCCCTTTGTATAAAGACGTGTAACACACCGGTCTGAAACCCTCTACTAATGCAAGGGCCGGAAACAGGTCCTCTCAGGAGGCCCTAAGGAAGGTGAGAACAATAAGGACTTTTCCCATCTTGTCCCCGTAGGCGGGATCACTGTTAAGCCTACAGGATTCTGTCGATGGTTTTTCAGGTAGAAGAGTCTGTATGTTCTTCCCAATTCACATGCAACAACACACATCATCTGTTTTACTGTCTGTCTCTTAGACTGTGACGGCGCAGATAGATCATCAAGTTTAGATGCTGGAAGGAATCGTTCTGGAAGACATTTGTTCCATAATGTCACCAAATTCTGGAGCAGAACCCCACAGGGAGCCAATAACGGGGAAAGAGGAATCTATTCTGGGAAGTTTCCAGGACACCAACTTCAGGCTTTCTGCATACATGACACTGTTTGAAGTGAACTACTCTCCTCCTTCCTCCCCTCCTACTCAGCCACAAGTAAAACGGGATTTGGGGATTTGCTGAAGCCTGAAGCCAGACAGGTGTGAAATAAGCAGTTATTAAATGCTACATTTAGAGTTTAAACCTGAGAATAAAGGCATAGAGAAACTTATTCCTACCTGTCTATGAGTGCCATTTTTACTGCAAAGGTTTCTCTTCTTACTGGGTATTTGTTCACTGCAGGGTTAACAGGCAGGACACTAGCACTAGCAGGGTCTGTTCCACACAGCGTGAGGAAAATCAGTGCAGCTCAGCAGAACAATGCACCAAAGATAAGGGACTGGAGCAGCTCCCGTATGGAGACGGGCTGAGAGCATTGGGGCTTGTTCAGCCTGGAGAAGAGAAGCTGTGTGGAGACCTCAGAGCAGCTTCCAGTGTCTGAAGGGGGCTACAAGAACGCTGGAGAGGGACTCTTCATCAGGGACTGCAGCGACAGGCCAAGGGGAATGGCTTTAACCTGCCAAAGTGAGACTGAGATGAGCTTTTAGGCAGAAGCTCTTCCCTGTGAGGGTGCTGAGGCGCTGGCACAGGGTGCCCAGAGAAGCTGTGGCTGCCCCATCCCTGGCAGTGTTCAAGGCCAGGTTGGACACAGGGGCTTGGAGCAACCTGCTCTAGTGTGAGGTGTCCCTGCCTGTGGCAGGGGTTGGAACTGGATGAGCTTTAAGGTCCCTACCGACCCGAACCAGTCTGTGCCGCTATGAGGCGCGCACCGCTCCGGCAGCACGGGCTCGGTTCCTGCCCGGTTCGGTCCGCTCCGCTCTAACCCGCGGCGCGGTGACCGTGACAAACCCCCGCCGAGCGCCAAGGGCCGGGCCAAGCAGGGGCCCCGCAGCCGCCTTTGTGTGCCCGCGCGGGGCGGGCGGGGCGGGCAGACAATGCGTGGCCTGTGCGCGCCGCCGTGCCCATGATGTCATGCGGCTGGAATGCGCCGCGCGGGGGGCCGGGACGCGCCGCTCCGCTCCGCTCATCCTCTCCTCCCCGCTCACGCTCGGCTCGGCCCGGCCCGGCCCCAGCGGGAGGGGAGCGCTCGGACCCCCCCGGGGCCCATTGGGACGTCGCGGAGCGAGGCTGCCCCAGCGGGCAGGTGCGGGACGAGGCGCGAGTGGCGGCGGCGCTGACACCTCTCTCGTCCCCGCCACCGCGGTGCCAGATCGCGCTCCCCGTGCCCCCCCGCCCCTTCCGCGGACAGGCAGAGACCCGGCCCGGAGCCGGAGGCAGAGAAGCCTCCGGTGCGTGCAGACAAAGCCCCGGTGCACCCGCGCGGGGCGGCCGGCCCGTACCTTGTTCTTGACCTCGGCAGAGAGCCCGTAGGAAGGCCCCTTGTTGAAGTGGGTCATGGCCGCGGTGTCGCCGCTGCTCGCGGGGCGCTGCCGGCTCCGGGGGCTGAGGCACAGTCCGCCCGCGGCCGCCGAAAGTTCTCGTCCCTCCCTCGCGGCCCGGCCCCGCGCGCCAATCGGGCCGCGCGCCCCGCCCCGCCCCGCCTCGCCTCGCTCCGCCCCGGCCCGGCCCGGCCCGGCCCGAAGCGCTTCGGGGGCGCGTCAGCGGTGAGGAATCCGCTGCGGCGGGGCCTGAGGGGCGACCGGCGGCGGGGCAGGGCCGGAGGCGCCGCTGCGCTGTGTGCTGGGCTGAGCGGGGCGGGAGGTGCCGTTAAGAGCTTAGATCCGTAGGGAACTGGGTGGGAGATGGCGCGAAAGGGGAGGAAACGCGGTCTCTGGGCAGCGTGCGGCCTGTATGGAGTGTTGCTGCTGGGCAGCGTGCTGCAGACGGCTCTTCGTGACGGCTGGAGCGGTGGGACAAGGGGTGATGGGCTCACACTGACACAGGGGAGGTTCAGGTTGGAGGCAGCGGCGGGATCACAGCGGGTTCAGCCCGTGCCTGGCTGCGAGCACTGGGCCATGGGTGGCGGCCGCACGGGAAGCCAGAACAGATCCAACACTCGGCTCATTGAGGAGTGCTGGCCGAAACCACGGCACTGTGTGTCCGTGCGTGTTAGCATCGCCCTGGGCACACAGAGCAACCTTTCACATGCAGTTAAATCTTGACGGGTTTGAAGTTAATAACCAGAACCTGATCCCCTGCTCGGAGGTAAGGAGCAGCCTGTGGTACCCCCAGGAACAAGGGGCCCGTGCTCCCATCTGATAGCAGACATTGGATGGATGGAGTGGCTGCTCCTGACTCCAGCTGGAACCACCCCAGCTCTCTCCCAAGTCCTGTGGTGGCTGTAGTAGCCCCAGGGATCACAGGAGGTGGTTGTGTGGAGCCGAGCTGATGCACAGCACCACGGCAACCACTGCACAGCCGCTAACGAAACCAGCCGGGGCTGTTCCTAATTAAAGGAAACAGAACTGCCTGGATGGCCCGTTGGGAAAAGGAAACTGTGCAAGAGCAGCAGGAAGCTGAAGGATGGGGTGAGGGAAATGGCGGTTCATGTACACATCATGAAAGCTCGTTAGTTTTCAGGCATCCACGTTGGATAAACTCCTCTTTCCTGACCTCGGAGAATGGATGATTTCAGGCTAGATCCAACATCCTCCGAAGCCTTTGGAAATGTTTCCACTGACTTAAGGAAAGTTGGATCAGGACCTTACTTCTTAACGCTCTTGATCATACACAGTGGCTGGGGAAGTTGGAGCTGTTCACCATTGGTGTGCTTTTCTGAGCTCCACAAATCACGCTTCATCCACTTTTGCAGTGAAATGGCCCTGATTAGCAGCAGACAAAAGCAGGGCATTGCATTTTCTTGCTGGACAATCGGGTTTGAATTATCCTCAGATAAGTCATGGAGGGGTTATTTCTAGGGAACACAAACACCGTTTGCTGGTTCTATGCTGATACTGAACATGCAGTAAAGAAGCTCCCAGTCTTTGGGGCTGATTGTTGGCATTTATTCTGTGATCGGTAACATGCTGACACCCTGTAGGGAAAGGCTGGATGAGGAATATTGGACTGCAGTTAAAAACACATTCTGTTCTGCAACACAAAGCAAATGTGACCCAATCAGTGCAGTACAAAGCAGCTGGAGCACACCGGGCAATCTGGCTCATTGTGTGTAAATCCCTTCTCTTTGCCCTATTTTTCTGCATTGGTTATTACTAAAGCTGTTTGTATGGAAAGAGGATTTGTAGGAGAATTATTCCCCACCTGAAATGATAATCCTCTTTGTGCCATTGTAATAACTGCTTCAGCAACCACATGTAATATCATAAACATGTGCTGATGACTTCAGCTGGAAACGAAGGGGAAAAGAGCTCGGAAAAGACAACGTCTGTTTTCTTGGAAACACAGACCATAATCTCACACACGTTCTTGCACATGAGTTATTGTAAGCATATGTGTAGTCCCATTAAACTCCCCGAGCCTAAATTATCCCTTGTGTAATTCCACTGTAATCTGTAGAATTAATGTGGTTTGATGGAAACTATCAAACAGGCATTGAGATTTCTGTGTTCTGCTCTGTGTCGGAGCCATCCTGGGCATTGATGATTGAAGACATGGTGAGTCCTACAAATGGAATTGGGACTAGCCATGTCTGAGATGGATCATCATCTCCTCCCTACCCATCTGATCCTGATAAAGGGCCTTGGTTTAATCAGCTGGCTCAGCTGAGGAGGAGCAGAATGATTTCCCTGAGGAATAGAGCAAATTTCTTTGGGAGAGCTAAACTCCATAGAGGAAGGTAATCTGCCAGGTAGAGCTCCAAAGTGTGATACATAAGGGAGGGAGGAAGGCTTTGCTGAGTGGGGTGGCTGGTCTGAGGGAGGGGAACGGGGTTCTGAACTGGGGAGGGTGGTGGTACCAGCCATAGGGTGAAGAAAAACACCCATGGGTGTGTTTTTGTGGGTGATTTTGCCTTGATGAATAGCTTTCTGGGTGGGAGCCACAGTGCTCAACAGAACTGGACTGCAGGAGGGAAGTGAAGTGAGGAGTTGTGCCAGCTTGGTACTAGTGAGGAGCAGGTCCTGCGCTGCCATCGATGGAGCTCACTGGCCTGCAGGTACCTGATGGGGAAGCTGCTGAAGAAAGCGCTTTCCAATAACCTGGTGCTTTGAGAAGGGGAAGGACACTCTGAGCTTTCTGATTATGTCCTCTTCTAAGGATCAAGGAGGGGAAGGACTAGTGAGCACTGACCTGGTGAGGCAAGGAGGAGGCTGTGCTGCTCGCTTCCGTGAGAGGCAAGGAACTAAGCCCTTCTGCAATCCTCCTGAACCTCGGGAGTCTTTCGCAGGCCATTCTGCCTCTCATCAGTGTGTTTTTTAGTGCTGGGGGTGTAACATGGCCTGTCCCAGGGTGCTGGTGACACTTGGTAATGCTTCAGCCTAATTAATTTATGTGTCTAAAGTTATTAGAACAGCTATAGGATGAATACAACTTGTGTCTCCAGTAAGACTTGCCTCTTCCCACTGGTTGCTGCCTGTTCAGACCAAATGTTAGAGCAGCGTGCAGCAGCCCTGTAGAAACTGCAAAGTAAGAACTCCAGAGAAGAGCCTTAGCAGTACCCAGAATTGTCCTTGGTCTTTCACTTGTTAGGATTCCTTTTAAATACTCAGTGTCCTAGGCAAGCTCGTGTAACATCTGTTGATACGTTACCTCCACGATCTGCTTAAACACTGCTGTGCTCATAGTGCTCATGAAATTGGAAGGTTTTGGGGTATGCAGCACTGCCCTTAGTATTTTAATTAAGCATGCCATGCTGTACGTGTGCTGTGTTGGTTCAGCTGCTTTAGCAGAGAATCATCCCATGAAAGATGCTTTTGCCTTGTAGAGCAATTATGGGTGCTTTGAGGTGTTTGTAGCCCACTCCTCTCTCCTCTGCACCAGACTACAGAAAGCAACATTTCCTTGGCAGTCCTTAATTCTATCTTAAAGGCTGGGCTTAAAAATCAACATCTGGAAAACCAAGTGCATGGGCTTCTTACAGATACCACAGACTGAATCCTGGGGCCAAAGGCAGCCTCGGTGGAATTATCATCTGATATCTGTGCTCTGTGTTTTCCCTATAATGCTTGAGTCAGTTCCCTTTTATGGAGATGTCTTCAGAGATGCACACGATGCCAAAATGCTCACAGAATTGCACAGGACTGACCAAACCTAAAATGCTGCAGCAGAGAAAGAAAGAAACAGAGCCCCAGACCTCCTCTGAAAGGGGATGTGGTGGTGGAAGTCCCTGATTTGAGCAGCTTAAGCATCAGTGTTGGCAGTTTGAAGACTGGCAACATGATTTATTCTGGAGAAAGCCTCCCCTTTGTGTCTCATTTTGATGAACAGAAATGTTACTGACATTCATGATAAAATAACTTGCTGAAGTGGCTTATCTACATGTTTGGATCAAGAGAGATTAGGCTTTATGCAAAACAATATATTCAGATTGCTAAAATACCTCAGTGCTTGTTTCTTCATCAGTTCCAACACTGGTGTCTTCTTCTCCATCCTCTCACTGCAATCAAGGTTGTTCTGTTAGCTGGTGGTGGTAGCTGTTGATAAAAGTCAGACTTTGGTGCTTTTGTATTCTTATTTGAGATTCATGACCTTCCCTTAAGATGTGATTGTTGCAATTCTTAGCAGTGGGATATAGCTAGAGAATAGATGACTGCCAGTGGAAAAGTCTAAAAGCATAACTTGGGTGCAAGCTGATCAGTGTCGAGGGTCCTGCGTTGTCCTGTGTCCCTCCTGGCCCCCCTGACTCAGGGCAAGGCTTGCTGCTGGTGTTGGTTTTTAACTTGCTAAAACCAGTCCACAAGCAGAAGGCAACAAAGGACTTCAGATTGCTTGCTGTGCAATCAAAATGCCTGACATACTTCACAGTTTTTTTTCCTCGTGCTTCCTAAGAGCAAGTGCTTGTAGCAGGTAGGTCACAGTCGTTTCTGCCTCCTCTTTGGCAGGCTTCACTTCTCTATCAGACCCAAGGCATTTGCAGTCTGAGTCACCAGCGTGCTCGTGCTGAAGTGCTTGATTCCATTTGTCACCAAGCTCAATATTAGCAGCCATCACTTTTATTCCACAGTGATGTTTACCTACAAGATAGCACAATACAGGAAGGAAATGCCTGTAGGGTCAGTGTGTGTTGCTCAGACTGCTCCTCCTGAGGGAGATAAGACGTGGGCCTTCCTTCTTCTATGCTTGTGAAGGAAAAAACGCAACTCCGCCTTCAGAGCTCCACTTAAGGCAAAGCTTCGTATGCAAGTAACATGGCACTTTGTGCTCCTGTAAAAGAGAACACCAGAGCCCTTACAAATGGTGTCATTTTTCTTGTGCTTCTGATGGCCCATCTAATGCAAAAGGCCCTTGAAGCCTGAAACCTTCCTCATTTTTCTATTAAGCTTCATGAGTCAGTTCTCTGCTGTGATTCAGGGGGATCACCCTACCAGGGAATTAGAGGAAGGGAGAAATCAAGAACTTTGTGATACTTTATGCTTCCATAATTCCTGGTTTTTAGCCAGCAC